CGATGAGTCAACTAAAATCATAAATGTAACATAGCGGAACAATTTTTGTAGTAGAAAGAAAAATAATCACCGTAATAACATCTTTTTTTCAAGCACAAGCTATTGAACTTCTAACACGGGACACAAATACGGAGTAGTACATGCTACTAGACATAGTACCGCACCTACTTTAATTACCAATAAAATTGCACCGTGTTCCTGAAGCTATATTTGGTTGAAAAGGAAACATTATATACTCTGTCTGATATTATGGCGTTTCAAGATCATATATCAAACGGAGCAGACTCCTGTCAACGATTACGTAGAGCATTAACAATTATCTACGATAATAAATGAAGTAATAATATGAAAAGTCAGATAGCTATTGATATTAACAATTCAAATACGCGCATAGTAAAACAAAATGTAATAAAAAAGAACCGAAGAAGATAAAACAGATAAAATTAATCGTTTGTACTAGTGTACATTTAACAATTATAAGCAATTGATATTTTCTAGCCTGTTATACTGTATTAATTATTATAATATTTTATATTATATTGTAAGTTATATTAGAATTTATTTACGTATAGAATATTTTTATATATGTATAGAATGATCTCCATACCACGCTTTAATACACTTTACCGGAAATTAAGACGGACTAAAAAGTACTATACTTTGAAACTTCAACGGTAAATTGTTATGACTTTGATTACGCGGATATCTGAATACAATGTGTCGGGAATATTCTTATCGGTATTAGCATTTCAACGCAACATTGAATCTTCAATAGACCGTGCGCGTAGAAAAACCTGTCATGTCTCGCATGAGATAAGATACTTATCTAAAGATTGAGACTTAGCGTGACATGCGCGCGCCCACAAATAAATATATCTTGACAATATGTGAATGCACCTCTGCAACCTTCCACGTTCTGCACTCCGTATTTCCATTCTATCTTCGTACCTTTCATTTTCGGTCCCGGTTCCGTACTGAAACACGTAAGTAGGCTAGTAGTGCACCTCTTATTATCATCCTGGTATTAAACGTGACACAAAGAGAAAACGAGCGTTAGCGTTAATTATAGTTGTGTCTCAAGACAATTAACTTGGCGCTAACTAAACGTTGATTTGCAAATTATCACCTGGTCAGTTATTGCCTTAACTCGTCCATATTATGTGTGCATATTGTTACTTTCAACAAATATTTTCCGGGATTTCTAATGTGGCGCGAGAATAAATTCTGCTCTAACAAGCTGTCATAAATAGCCGTTGTAAAATATAATAAATTAAGCACGTGGAATAATTTCGTGACAAATTTACTATTTATTCTGTCAGACACGTCGGCATACAGTCATCTTATATGTGTACCATCTGAGACCATAAATGTCTTTTCTTGATATTTATATTCCTCATAAAATATTGGTGCACAGTCATTCGCATTCCATTCCACAGTTAAAAGGCGAGTGGCATACTTATATTGGTTTAATTAAAGCGAACATTAAATTGTGCTTTACTTTGAGGAAATTAGTAGATTTGTCTTCGTCCGGAATGCAGTATGTACGATTAGATGACATACCCTGATGTACTTCACAGATACGGTACAGACATCTCAATTAAAATCATAAATAGCATCATGAAAATGATTTAAAAAATTTTCCTAGTCATAATATTATCGATAATTTAAATATAAAACTCATGTATGCACTTTTCAACTATAAAATGCGATTGATTTTGTGAGTTGTTTTAGCATCGGCCATTGATATTGCGATTTGATTGCGGTCACAGCATTTAATCAGTGCTGATAGGATTACATGGTTCAACGGTACTGTCTATTTCGCAGATCGATTCGCTAAAAAATAAAACATTGCACGCAATCACGTCTGACCTATTTTTTTTTAACAAAAATTAGTTATGTTTTAATTACGAAATGGCGCTAATGAAGTGTCAACATTAAAAACTGTTACTGCATTGTACTAAAAGTTTTAATAAAACATCCCAGTTTAATTAACACATAGCGTATTTGACTGTGGAATAAAACTTATTGGCTCACAATTATTATATCGTAGTTGTGTGCAGAAAGTTACGGGATATTCGGAATTAAAATAAAAATATCAGACAAAAGTAGTATCGAATAATTACGCTGGAAACAGAAGGATAATAAACCTGAATTGCGCCATTAAAATTATATCAAGACATATGATACTTAATAAGTGGTTTAGAAAGTTCGGCGAACGATCGCGCACTCGTTGAAACGTACAGCGCCCAAAATATGTCAATCAAATAATAATATAAAATCGCATAATTTAGCGATTGACATAGTGATCTCGCTAATAAATGAAGAAACGCTCTCAATACCAGATTTGCATGATGATAATTGCATATAATTCTATATAATTTAAAAGATTAGAATACATTGTACACTCGATCTTCCTATGCTTTATTCATTTTGGTCAGACGTGACACAGATTCTCCCTTCTTGTTCTTCATTGTACAATATTGGTTTCTAGATCGATGCCAGATATTTACATAGTATAATAGTATTTAATACTAGAACAGTTATAAAGAGAATATTTGTTACTGACTCCATAATAGTCATTGATGGAAGAAGAATGCAAGTAAAATAGACTATTATATTAACATTGTATATGAAGTAGATTTTTATATATAAGTACATTTTTTCTTTAAAAGCTCTAATGATGTTAGAAACTGCGCGAACAGAAATAAAAGTTTATTTGTTTTGAGATATTATTTGTAAATCTAATTGAAATTAGATGTCATTAATCTTGCTATAAACGAGTAATTATTATA